AATGTAGCTCTCTGACAAAGGAAACTTCTACCTCTTAAACTTGGTCTAATAAGGCATGCTAGAACATTTCTAAGATGAAGTAACTTCAAAGTAACAAATTAGAGACAAGATGTAAAATATTAGTAGAAAAATGAGGAGTCGCATGAATAGAATTCTCATGTCCTTTCTACAGTGCCTCATGCACTTGTCTGTTCCCTTCCCTCCCCAAAAGCATAATTGGCAGCGTATTTGGCTTTTACCCTTTTGTTCCTTAAAGGACAGGTAAATCCAATTGTATGAGAAACTGTAGTATAACCTCAAAAGCAACACTCCTTATAAACAGTGAAACTTAGTCTGCTTAGCACTAAACTTGCAGAAAGCAGTCGTATGCCCCTTTAAAATTTCCGTTCCCTCTTGGGTTATCTAAAATAACCTTTTGCTGAATCTCAAATCCAGTATAAGAATTTCATTCATTAGTGTATTGTGCCAGTTCCCAACACAGTTCTGCTACCTCCTTACCCCATATTCAGTGACTTGGGTGACTTACGTGTTGGATCAGTTCCTTGTTCCTTTTTCTAAATGACCTTTGAGTATTTGTTGCTATTATCATAGTACTTAAGCATACCTGGGCTTGAAAGAGACTGATTGGAAAAAAACCAAACAAAAAACCCCAAAATTGTCAGAACTGAATAAAGCAACAAATAAGAATAAGCATTAGAGATGCTTCTCTGTTTTCCCTAAGTTCTTTCAATAGTTTTTAAATACAGGTTTTCTTAAGTTTAGAAAAAAGAAAATTGTTAGTGATTTTTCCTAATATTCAAAATATCTTTTTTCTAATATGTTTCAAAATACTAATTTGCAAATGGCTGTGACTAAACTTTTTCCTAATATTCAAAATATCTTTTTCTTCTAATATGTTTCAAATGGCTGTGACTAAATATAGTCCAGCCATGTGCTTAGGCACTGTATAACAGAGTAGTTAATGGCTCAGTGTCAGACTCCTGAAAGACCAAAGAGGTGAGAAGTTTTCTTGATCAGTGTCTTAATTGAGAAACGAAGGGCTTTTGAGAGCAAATACGAAGTAAAGTATCAAGCTTTTGTACAGTTTTAACTTTTGTACAGCATATAGGTAATATGCACGCTCTTGTAAAGCTATGCTGACTGACTGTTTCATGTTTGAATCCAGTTAACTGTAAATGCAAGCTTGCCTGGATCCTCTTCATATGCTTTTTAATAAAAGTGGTTTTATGTAGAAGGAGGACCTGAAGATGCTAAAATAGACCTTTATAAAGGCCTGTGTGTGCCAGTTTAAGGAAAACAGGTAAAGTAGAACCTTCTATCCCAAAGAGGTAAACTTGCAAATTTTACATCTAGATAATCAATGCTGCGGGTTGGGTTGCCTTCATATTCTGGGTTAAACTGTTTCCAGTGGTGATTCTGAGTTAATGCTACCAGGAACTGCAGTGAGATATATTAATAAATAAATGAGTATTTGTAGTGCTCCCCTCTGCAGTCCCAAGTGGGGAATATACCAAAATGACACAAGTGCATCACTGTTATGTGGGAAGGTGCAGAGTTTTCCAGAGGCTTCCTGACCTAAGGAAGCACCATGAAGCCTATCCTGGCTTCCCTTTCCTTTCTTGGCAGCAGTTAAGGACTAAAGCACTGTGGTCACTATTGCTGGATTACTGTATTGCAGAATTTTATTTCCCCACATTCCTCTAAAATAATTTAAAAGAAAAATTACCTTTACCTAGTGACTGCACAGCTGATGTACGGAGAAAGTATTTATTATTTCTGACTTGAAGTATTATATACAATAATATAATGCCTAGCAGAAAGTCCAGTGTATTGATTTAATAAAGGATAGTATTTTGCTCTTCTTGAATAGCTCTGTACTTAAATTATTGTACCTCTTTCTTGAAGAACAGTGTTTTTGAAGATCCTTTTAAGTTCTGCATGTGCTAGTTGGAACCTTTAAAGATTGGGTATGGAAAGGCGATGGAAAAGTAGGCCCCAAAATTCAGCTCAGTCAAATGGTAGCAGGATGTATTTTATCTTCTCTGCCTCTAGCGTGAACTGATTAGGCAGGTGTGAAGCTCTGCTGCTACCAGCCACCCATGTGTGTTGTGAGCGTTTGCCTCTGAGCTGGCTTATGTTTAGCCATCAGCTTGATCTGCTTGCAAAAAAACTGACTGTGATGCTTGTGTTGTAGTAAAGCAGGTATTTTCCTGAGCTTATGAAGGAAGGAGAACCAAAATATCTGCTTAAAGAACAAGTGAGTTCAGCTTATGGTTTATAGCTTCTCATTTTAAAAATTGTTACCTCATTACTTTGCATGGTAGCATGTGTTTCTGATCTCTCAGAGGCTTCTCTCAAATATTTTGTGAAATGTTTTTTTAATCTTTCCTTCATGCTACATGCTGTTATAGTGTAATGTGTCGAACACTTGCAGTCTTCAAAACCAGGTTAATTCTAGTATTCAACCAAGTAAATTGGATGTCTTAAACTCGCTTGGTATGTAATAGCATGTGAACACCTAGGCCTGTTCAAGTTTGAAGACAATTTAAACTACTGTTCTCAGTTTTCTGATGCGATGGAATATCAACATGTGAAAATACCCTTGAATCACATTGGCCTTTTAGCGTGTACTTTAATAGGATGAGAACAGGGCTGCTGAGATGTTTATTCTTGTAGATTGAATTGGAAAGTGGAAAGGAGAGGTGACAGGATGCCTTTTGGGATAGCTTTACATAGAAATTTTCTACTGTGAGGCTAAATCGCTCTTTCCATTCCCCAGAATTTATTAGTTCTGAGTTAACCAAAAAAAAAAAACAAACAAACAAAAAACCCCTCATTTAGAAATGGCATTGAAACGAGCTGTTGCTTGTACATGCCAATAGGACAGGTGTTTGCCTTCTGGAGACCCTTGATGGCTAAAGAAGAGGGCAGAGAACATAGAATTTCTCACTTGGGTTTGCAGCGTGGCAGTTGAGAGCAGTGAATACCATGTCCCCTCTGTAGGTGGATTGGGGTATTAACTTCTTGATTCTGAGTTAACTCCTCACACCTTCAAATGAAAGGTATTGCTTCTTGTACGTACTTGGAAGCTCAGTGTCTCTTAAGGTGCTAAACATTTACAAATCATGCTACAGTTCTGCCTTCAAGGTGGATTTTTTTCATGTTGAAAATACTGCACTAGGGCTGGATTTTAGTAAACCTTGAGCATGGATCAGAAACAATTTGTCAGCCAGTAATTATTTTGTTTGGGATAATTCCATTATTCTTTCCTCCTCCTGGGTAGCTGCATAGGAAATGCACACTGAAAAGGGCTCATGTGCTTTAAAAATAACTGTTTCAGTCTTAAATAACTTAAAAGTTATTTAAAATAACCGGTCCAGTAAATGCAGCAAGTATCACTTGCTTTCAAGACTTGATGTGAGAGAAGGAATACTAGAATTCACACAAGCATGCAGACATGGACCAGGGAAAAATCCCATTGAAGGAGGAACCTGGCGAGTTTGAAACTCCTTCCCTTGTAGCTAGCTCTATTTATGGATGGCTGTCAAGTTTGATTTACTTAGAATAGTGGCTTGGATTCTTGGAGACCAGCTAACTTGCTTTGGCATCAAGAATCTATATTCAAGGATGGTAAAGTAGCTATTGTAATTGAGTAGTACTTGAGTGCAGTTTATTCTTTTCTCAACATTTTGGTAGTTGCAATGAAGGTGCTAAATCACAGAATATGATAAGCTTGATTTTCATTGCTAGTAGAGTTTAAACTTGGCAAGATTCCTATAAGGCAGAATGTCTGAGCTTTTTTGTGCTGAGAAAAGTGCTGTTTGGCAGTTATGATATTGCCGA